GCAAAGCGGCTTTCCTATAGCCGATCTTCGCTAGACAACGACGATTCTTCCCCATTGGAACGCATTAAACAGGTTTCAATGCATTCCAATGGGGAAATGCTTTTCGCTGGACAATGATTTTGCTAAATAGCAATTTCAGTGGAATGGATTATCATCAATCGTTTAGCGATGTATCACTGTACTTGATAAAGGAGGCTATATTTCAGTGAGAGAGAGAGAGAAAACTAAAGAAGAAACTTAGCATGCAGCTGGAAGTAAACAACCATGGCACTCACCCCATCTTCCTCTATCCACTAAGTCTTCAGGAAGTGGGGGGTTTGACCTTTGATGCATAAATAGGGACTCATTTCCTTGGCATGTACTTGGGACCAGACCAGACCAACAAGTGGTCCTTTTCCATTGCTGCTTACCTACTGGCGCAGCTCAGTACTAAGTGCTGAATTTATACCACCCTTTTCTAACCAGTAAGACCACTTCTGGTGAAACAGGAACCGCATATGTCGGGGTGGCGACACAGTCTGGACGATGCATTCCAGTGTTGGCCAGCAAGATCTGTGGTATAAGATCTTGTGAAAGTTGGTCTTCAAATATAATAAAAAGGGGTTGCAAACCAAAGAGATTAAAAACTTAAACTACCATGTTTCCCCAAAAATAAGATGGGGTCTCATATTAATTTTTGCTCCAAAAAAAACACATTAGGGCTTATTTCCAGGGATGATTTATTTATTTTTTCCATGTATAGTCTATGTTTATTCAAATAGTCGTGTCATCTTCTTCTGGGTGCTGCATAATGGTAGAGGGCGGGGTTTCACTTAACTAGGGCTTAATTTGGGGGTAGGGCTTATATTACGAGCATCTTGAACAATCATAGTAGGTCTTATTTCAGGGAAACGGTATAAGAATGTTCAATATTATAAACTGTTACGTGCTTATTGTACAGCTAAATTTGCATTTACTTGACTCCCGCGTTTAATGGCTTTAGCACATTCAATGTACAGTGGTGCCTCGCTTAACAAAGTTAATTCACTGTAGATAATTCCAGCGATGTTTTCGCTGTAGAGCGAAAATGTCATAAAGTGAAAATAAAAAAACCATTGAAACGCATTAAAACCTGGTTAATGCATTCCAATGGGCTAAAAACTCACCGTCCAGCGAAGATCCTCCATACGGCAGCCATTTTCGGTGCCTCTATAGCCAGGACTCCATCCCTAAGCACAGTGGAGAGCCATTTTGAGTACCCGGTGGCCATTTTGAAAACCCGGCGATCAGCTGTTTTGATCGTCGTAATGCGAAGAATCGGTTCCTGAAGCAGGGAATTAATCTTCGCAAAGTGAAAAAAACCCATTCAAAACATTTAAAACACAAAAACATTGTGAAGCAGATTCATCTTAATGCGGGGTAATCATTAAGCGGGGCACGACTGTATCATGTTCCCAGCCAGATTGTTAACTTGGGCCAGTTACACGGAACACGTAGCATCCTGGTGACAACAGCTCCACAGGCTGTACATATGGGCAGAATTCAAAGTGCTGGTTTTAACCTATAAATCCCTAAATGGCTTGGGTCCGAGCTAGCTCAAGGACTGCAGCTCCCCTCTATAAGGCTGCCTGGGCATTAAGATCATCAAGAGAGGCCTTTCTCTCAGTCTCACCACCCTCACAGGGCCTCATGGTGGAGTGATTCAACTGCAGTACTGCAGCCAAAACTCTGCTCACAACCCAGAGTTCAATCCTATGTAGCAACTCAAGGTTGACTCAGCTTTCTATCCTTCTGAGGTCAGTAAAATGGGTTCCCAGCTTGCTGGAGGAGACAATGTGTGTGGCCTCTTTAATTAACTTGTAACCCCCCCCCCCGAGAGTGCTTTGAGCGCTATGGTGTGGTATATAAGCAGCATACATTTTTATTTTTTTTTAACCCAGAAGAGGGCTTTTCTGTGGCTGCTCCCAGCGACTCTGGAACTCCCTCCCACAGGAGGCCAGGCTGGCCCCATCTTTGCTGTCCGTCTGCAAGCCGACCAAGACCTTTCTCTTCAGACATGCTTCCCTCTAGTGACTAACAGTTCCCATCTTTGCTGTCCTTCTGCAAGCCGACATGCTTCCCTGTAGTGACTAACAGTTTGAGAGGGCTTTGTGCTCTGTTGCTTTTAAAGGTGTTTTTAAGTAGTGATTTGCCATTATAAATATGCTTACTTTTTAATATTTGTACACTTAACTGTTGTTAGCTTTGTATATTATCTTCTTAATGACATGAGGCCCCCTCTAGGTCATCCTGAACCATATCAGGAAACATTTTGCAACACTTCTTCCCAGACCTCCAGGCATTTATGTGGCTTCTCTCTTATGTGGATTCTCTTATACCTCCTGAACAAAACATTTCCCTCAGTCTTGCATTTGTATGATCTCTCGGTTGTATGGATTCCCCAATGTACACATCAGAAGGGCGTGCTTGTTTGTTTATTTCTACAGATTTAGATACTTAGTGCAAAGCACTATTCAGGGAAGTTAACAACAAACGTGAGCAATTTATCTACATCCAATTCCCTACAAGACAATGAAGACAAACACAATCATTCCAAAATTAAATTGTAAGGCCTAGGTACAACAATTTAAAACAATTAATGAGGGCAGAAGGGCAAAGTAAAAAGAAATCCCGCCATCACCCCAGGGAAGGATATCACTAAACATTTCCTTGAACAGCTCGGTCTTCAGCAACCTCTTGAAATTAATCCAAGAATGGAGCTTGATAAACCTCCAGGGGAGCCCATTACATAAGGATGGAATCCTGATTTGAACAGATCAAGGCAATCTTCCTAATCCAGGAACACTTGAAGCTGCTCTGTGATGAACCTCTCGATTAACTTGTCCGTGAGGTATGAGTAACCGCCATATATTTGTTCAAATTGTCCATTGCTAACTCAGGCCTTTTTAGACTGGGCGATATACCCAGGATGGCAGATGGCCCACTCAAGGGAGTTAATCATATTCATGGCACAATCGCACTGTGACTTCTCTTGCAGATGTTAAAAGCCACGACAGGCAAGGATTGAACAACGAAGTCGAGGGTGTAAAGCAAACAACCACTCAGGTGACGATGAATTGTGAGAAAAATATTTCCCTCACTCCTGGCTTTGGGAAGGTGTCTTTCCAGTGTGTACTCTCTGGTGTGACAGGAGGTTTGAATGCAAAACAAAACATTTCCCACATTCCTGGCATTTGTATGGTTTCTCTTCAGTGTGGAGCCTCAGGTGTTGAAGAAGGTGAGAATTGTGAGGGAAAAAATCTTTGAACTCCTGGCATTTGTATGGTTTCTCTCCTGTGTGGACTTTCTGGTGTTGAAGAAGATAGGAATTCTGAGCAAAGCATTTCCCACAGTCCTGGCATTTGAATGGTTTCTCTCCAGTGTGGAGTTTCAGGTGTTTCAAACGGGTTGAATTGTCAGAAAAACACTTCCCACACTCCTGGCATTTATATGGCTTCTCCCCAGTGTGGACTCTCTGGTGCCCCAGAAGGTGTGAATTCTGAGCAAAACATTTCCCACATTCTTGGCATTTATATGGTTTCTCTCCCGTGTGGACTCTCTGGTGTTTCAAAAGGGTTGAGCTATAAGAAAAATATTTCCCACACTCTTGGCATGTGTATGGTTTCTCTCCTGTGTGGACTCTCTGGTGCACGAGAAGGTGTGAATTCTGAGAAAAACATTTCCCACACTCCTGGCACTTGTACCGCTTCTCTCCTGTGTGGACCCTCTGGTGTTTTGAAAGGGTTGAATTTTCAGAAAAACATTTCCCACATTCTTGGCATTTATATGGTTTCTCTCCTGTGTGGATTCTCTGGTGCACCAGGAGGTTTGATGAGTACTTAAAACATTTTCCACATTCCTGGCACTTGAATGGTTTCTCTTCAGTATGGAATATATGAAACTTGCGAAGAGCTGAAACACAAAAAAAATCTTTCATACACTCCTGCCATTTGCACAATTCTTTGTTTGTTTGGAGTCTTTGGTGTATCTGGAGGAAGGAATTCCTAGCCAA